TCCCAAGTGCACCGTAGCCCCACAATAGCTTAGTCTATGGATGGATGCTGGTTAAAGCTGGTGAAACACAGTCCCTGAGTGCAGGCAATGACTGCTCTTTGACCCAAAATAGTTCAAATGCACCCTGGCCTTCCAGCTCATGGTTTTGCACTTGGTTTCTGTCAGCAATGGCCACTTTAAACTTGTAAAATTACAGATACCGTTCTTGAGCTTTACTAAGGTAGGCAGGCAGCATTGTAATGACTCCTCTTTGCTCTAGACCAGGGGTCTCCAAACTTTCTAAACAAAGGGCCAGTTTACTGACTTCCAGACTTTAGGGGGGGCTGGACTGTGACTATTGGGAGTAGAAATTGTCCTGCGCCATTGGGAGTAAACAGTGCATCTTTGGCATTAGGGGGAGGAATAGTGCCCTATTCTTGGTGTAAGTTGGAGAAATAGTGCCCCATCATAGGTGTCAATGGAAGGAATAGTGCCCCATCATTGGTATCAATGGAAGGAATAGTGCCCCATCGTTGGTGTCAATGGGAGGAATAGTGTCCCATCATTGGTGTCAGTGGGAGGAATAGTGCCCCATCATAGGTGTCAATGGAAGGAATAGTGCCCATCATTGGTATCAATGGAAGGAATAGTGCCCCATCATTGCTGTCAATGGGAGGAATAGTGCCCCATCGTTGGTGTCAATGGGAGGAATAGTGCCCCATCGTTGGTGTCAATGGGAGGAATAGTGCCCCATCGTAGGTGTCAATGGGAGGAATAGTGCCCCAATGTAGGTGTCAATGGGAGGAATAGTGCCCCATCGTAGGTCTAAAAGGAAGGAATAGTGCCCCATCATAGGTGTCAAAGGGAGGAATAGTGCCCCAAAGTAGGTGTCAATTGGAGGAATAGTGCCCCATTGTAGGTGTTAATGGAAAGAATAGTGCCCCATTGTTGGTGTCAATGGGAGGAATAGTGCTCCATCGTAGGTGTCAAAGGGAGGAATAGTGCCCCATTGTAGGTGTCAATGGGAGGAATAGTGCCCCATTGTAGGTGTCAAAGGGAGGAATAGTGCCCCATTGTAGGTGTAAATGGAAATAATAGTGCCCCATTGTTGGTGTGAATGGGAGGAATAGTGCTCCATCATAGGTGTCAGTGGGAGGAATAGTGCCCCATCCTAGGTGTCAATGGGAGGAATAGTGCCCCATAGTAGGTGTCAATGGAAGGAATAGTGCCCCATAGTAGGTGTCAATGGAAGGAATAGTGCCCCATAGTAGGTGTCAGTGGAAGGAATAGTGCCCCACTGTAGGTGTCAATGGGAGGAATGGTGCCTGTTGTTGATGCTAGTACCAGGATTTATGCCCCCCTTGTTGGTGTCAGTGGGTGGAATAGTGTCTTGTGTCAGTGGGAGGAAAAGTGTCCAAAGGGCCAGATAAGGGCAAGCAAGCCCCTGGGCCATAATTTTAAAGCTACTGCTCTAGACAGTTATAGTAGAGTAGCAGTTTTCAAAAACACTTTACTTACTCCCATGTTGCTATGGGTAATGGCTGTATAATTTAGGGGGGAGCCCCCACATGTAGCGCTACAACTCCCCCCCTCCCGTGGAGAAGCTTCTGGACTTTGGGCCCACACAGTCAGACAAAAGGGAATTTCCACACTTTCTGATGGCTCATTGAACAGTCTAGAGAATTTTAGTTTTGTCGTTCATTTTACGAATGGTGAACTTGTATTGGGAATAGGGGTGCATGGGATACCCCAAACTGAAGATACATTGCAGGGCTACGTACAAATGGTCGAGGACCTGCCAAGTCTCTGGCTGCTCTACTCAAAACAGAAACAGTGGGAGTAATGGTACAACTGGAGTAAAAGTTCCAAACAGTTGTGATGATGACGCAGCACCTGGTTGTATTGCACTGCTCTAGTTCCAAGGCTAGAATTAGCATGTTCTTGGTCCCAGAACCACGAGGTGTCGCGCTTCACTGTCCTCTCAGTCCCATAGGGTATGATGGGTGGTGTGCACTCACTCAGTCCTCTCTTTAGGAGGATCCCAGAATCCAGAGTAGATGCTGTCTTGGCCTTTCTGCAGGACAGGCTGAGTCTGGCTTGGCTGTCTTCAGCTGAGACCCAAGCTTGGTGAGTTCCTGAAGCTCTCTTCTCTTCCTCTCTGCCCCAGGGGCAGAGCCACAAACATAGGAGGCCCGTGACAGAGCGCCTGGCACCCCGCCTGGGTGCTTCTGTCAGGGAATGGCTTCCTCACCATAAGATATTATAGCTGGGCATTGCACCCAAGGACTAGACGACACTAGCTTAAGTGCAACTGGAACTCTTTTATATGAGCAGAAATACAGGTTTTTATAGACTGCAGAAATAGGGGCAGTCCCCACGTGATTGATAAACACAAATATTACACATTGGATTAAACATCCCACACTGATTAGATAATGAGGTACAGCTGACACAAGACTCCTACCATCGTGTAGGAACCTCCAGGAGGACTAGCCAACAGACAGAAACAATAGGTGACTCAATAACCAATGGGACAAAGTACACAGTAAACACACAATACATTTACAGCAAGAGACCGCAGCATCAGGTTGTTTTAAGCTAGTTACATTATAGTTTTACCAAACCCACCACAGTACAATCAGTCTGGATATGCAGTAAAGTATGCTTGTTATACTCACTGTGGAACCTAAGGGGTTAATCCTCTGCATTGATCTCTGATCCTCCACTTCTTCCAGTGCCCCCCCTCTTATCTCCTAATAAGACATATCATGTGGAGACACTCCGCACATGCTCAGTTGGTGTGTATTGCTAGAGGTTTTTTTTTTCTTGGGAGAGTGCATGTGATCGGCACAGGACCAATAAGCGCTGTCCAGACAGAGGTCAGGGGTCCTGCATCCTCCTAGAGCACAAAGAAAACTCCTCCTACAAGCTTTAACCAGTGCTCAGCTGAACACTGATAGAAGTCACAAGACTGCTCTATACTGCTGATGAGAAAAGAGATTTAGCAGTTTATATTTACTACAATAATTGCATTTCCATGTTGTCTGTACTGTAGGAGACCAAATATAGTGGAGGCCGGGTCCAGGGGGACCAAATATAGTGAATGCAGGGTCCAGGGGGACCAAATATAGTGAATGCAGGGTCTGGGGAGAGCGGATATAATGAATACAGGGTCCAGGGAGAGCGGATATAGTGAATGCAGGGTTCGAGGAGAGCGGATATAGTGAATGCAAAGTCCGGGGAGACCAGATATAGTGAATGCGGGGTCCGGGGAGAGTGGATATAGTGAATGCGGGGTTCGGGGAGAGCGGATAAAGTGAGCGGGAGAGTGATATAAGTGAATGCGGGGTCTGGGAGAGTGGATATAGTGAATGCAGGGGTCCAGGAGAGAGCGGATATAGTGAATGCAGGGTCCGGGGGAGCGGATATAGTGAATGCAGGGTCCGGGGAGAGCAGATATAGTGAATGCAGGGACCAGGGAGACCAGATATAGTGAATGCAGGGACCAGGGAGACCATATATAGTGAAGGCGGGGTACAGGGAGACTGGATATAATGAATGCAGGGTCCGGGAAGGCGGACATAGTGAATGCTGGGTCCGGGGAGACCGCATATAGTGAATGCAGGGTCTGGGGAGATCAAATATAGTGAATGTGGGGTCTGGGGAGACCGGATATAGTGAAGGTGGGGTCCAGGAAGGTGGACATAGTGAATGCAGGGTCCAGGGAGACCGCATATAGTGAATGCAGGGTCTGGGGAGATCAAATATAGTAAATGCGGGGTCTGGGGAGACCGGCTATAGTGAATGCAGGGTCCGGGGAGAGCAGATATAGTGAATGCAGGGTCCAGGGAGAGCGGATATAGGGAATTCAGGGTCTGGGGAGAGCGGATATAGTGAATGCGGGGTCCAGAGAGAGTGGATATAGTGATTGCAGGGTCCGAGGAGAGTGGATATAGTGAATGCAGGGTCCGGGGTCTGGGGAGAGCGGATATAGTGAATGCGGGGTCCGGGGGTGAGAGCGGATATAGTGAATGCGGGGTCCGGGGAGAGCGGATATAGTGAATGCGGGGTCCGGGGAGAGCGGATATAGTGAATGCGGGGTCAGGGGAGAGCGGATATAGTGAATGCGGGGTCAGGGGAGAGCGGGATATAGTGAATGCGGGGTCAGGGGAGAGCGGATATAGTGAATGCGGGGTCCGGGGAGAGCGGATATAGTGAATGCGGGGTCTGGGGAGAGAGAGGATATAGTGAATGCGGGGTCCGGGGAGAACGGATATAGTGAATGCGGGGTCCGAGGTGACTGGATATAGTGAATGCGGGGTCCGGGGAGAGAGGATATAGTGAATGCGGGGTCCGGGGGAGAGAGGATATAGTGAATGCGGGGTCCGGGGAGAGAGGATATAGTGAATGCAGGGTCCGGAGTTTAGTTAAACTTTAACATCTGCTTATCTGCCTTATAGACTCTGGGTCTAGAGGGGGGTTAAAGCAGTCAATGCTGGTTTGGGCACAAATACCCCAAATCTGTATCCTGGTCCTGCAGTCCTGTGTGTTTCAGGGAGACACGGACTTGAATCCAAAGTAAAACCAAAAGGTCCACAAGGAAAACTCACCTCCCAAAGATTAGAGCCCACCCAGAGGCCAGGGCCCATAGTCAGTAGGCAAGAGGCTAGCCTGCAGCCCCTGTCGGGTCTGTCACAGGTTCCCTCTAAATGACTGAACCCTGGGTCTCTGCTCTCCCACACTACCAGGCTTCAGAATATTTATGGACAACTTCCCCACCTTCTGTGTCTGCCTTCCTAAGGAATGGTGGAAGCTCCATGAATATTCAGGGCTGTAGGCTTCTGTCCATCCTCCCACCCTCCATGTTCTGGAGACTTTCAGTAAGTTCCAGAGGACAGGTGGCGGTAACAAGGCCACAGCCTCTGAAGCTCTGCACAGCCTCTCTATACAACAATTAACCCATGCCCCTCTGCCTACAGAGGAGCCAAATTAAATTTGCCTACACACGGGCATCCCAGGGGTATGCTTCGAGGGTTGTGTGGGACCCCTGATGTACAGGAAGACAGGGACTTAGGTCATGAACAAATCCCTCACTCAAAACAAAGAAAGATCGATCTCTATTGTCTATAAAACAGTGGACTTCTGTGAGTGACAATTCCCGAATTTAGAAAAGGAAAGTGGCTTCTACGCCGTGGGCAATCGCCAATGCGTGTTAAGATTGAAAAATTTCCCGCACTCAAGGCACTAATACACCTCGAGGGTTGTGTGTGGGACCCTGATGTACAGGAAGTCAGGACTTCAAAGAGGAACATTTCCCTCACTCAGGAAAGGAATGTGGCTTCTCCCGTGTGAGATCTCTGATGTCTGGAAAGATTGAAACATCTTTGAAAAACATTTCCCGCACTCAGGACAGGAATATGGCTTCTCACCCGTGTGAGACCTTAGATGTGTGACAAGTATTGATTTTTGTATAAAACATTTCCCGCACTCAGTACAGGAATACGGCTTCTCTCCTGTGTGAGATCTCTTATGTACGTAAAGACTGGACTTATTTATAAAACATTTGCTGCACTCAGGACAGGAGTATTGCTTTTCCCTCATGTGACACCTCTGATGTGTGAAAAGTTTTGATTTTTGTACCAAAAAACATTTCCCACACTCAGAACAAGAATATGGATTCTCCCCCTTGTGCAATCTCTGATGATAACAAAGGCTGGACTTCTCTGAAAAAACATTTCCCGCACTCAAGACAGAAAAATGGCTTCTCCCCTGTGTGAGACCTCTGGTGCGAGACCAGTTCTGATTTTTGAACAAAAATTTCTCGCACTCAGAACAGGAGTATGGCTTTTCCCCTGTGTGATACTTTTGATGTGTGACAAGATTTGAGTTACTTGCAAAACATTTCCCACACTCAGGACAGGAAAACGGCTTTTCCCCGTGTGAGATCGCTGATGTATATAGAGTCTGGATTTATGAGAAAAACATTTCCAGCACTCAGGACAGGAATACACCTTCTCACACCTGTGTGAATTCTTTTATGCACATTAAGATAGTATTTAAAACGGAAACATTTCCCGCACTCAGTACAGGAGAAGCTCTTCTCTGTTGGAAGGCCGGCCCGGTCCTGCACAGTCTGAGGTTCCTCAGGATACGAGGAATCCGATGGTCCATCTTCACTGGGTGGTGCCAGATGGACATTGGAGGGAGCCGGGTTTTCTCCTGGACTATACTGTGTGATGTCCTCATCTTCTACTTTCCAGTCTGGAGACAAAGTGAGACAATCCTCGGAGGTTTTCCTCATCTCCCGGCCATGGACTAAAATACAAAGACAAAGAGGATTACTAGACAGGAGCTGATTGGTTCCCCCAAACCAGGACTCCACCCACAACAACAGGCAGCTTGGTCTCTGAGGAGCTTACAATTCCACCCTCAAGGGAACTAGGAAATGGCTCCTCTGATCTCCTACCAGGTCATTTCTTTATTCATGGACCTTAGTCAGAGAGTGAGGAAACAACCAGAATTGTTCTTTTATAGGAGGGGGACAGTGATGAGGGGATTATAGGACGAGGGTCCCCTCCCCCTCTATCACTCATCACCATCTTCCCAACACAAGAAGTACTGCACTTCCTTATTCAGTCCATGATTTTAGTCATGAAGAACAGCGGGGCTGAGCCCCACAGAGGTCAGAGAGTGAGGATGGGGGGAGAACAACCAAGATGAAGACTGGACTGATCCTGAAGACCACCATCATTGCGGTATTGACTCCTCCCTCATTATCACTTTCTGTTTAAGGGTCCAAAGTTGGAGGATGTTATCACATTATTATCACCATGTAAACGTCTGTGCTCCAATCACATCATCCAATATAAAAATGTCCAGCTGGTAGGAAATGGGGGGAACAAAAGAGGATCCATATAATGTGTATATATAGCAGTGGGGGGAGGGTGGAGAGCAGAAGTCAGGACTATGTAATGTACAACATAGAGTATATAGTGCAGGGGTCAGGAGTATGTAATGAACAATATAGAGTATATAGTGCAGGGGGTCAGGAGTATGTAATGAACATTATAGAGTATATAGTGCAGGGGTCAGGAGTATGTAATGTAACAATATAGAGTATATAGTGCAGGGGCAGGAGTATGTAATGAACATTATAGAGTATATAGTGCAGGGGTCAGGAGTATGTAATGAACAATATAGGGTATATAGTGCAGGGGTCAGGAGTATGTAATGTACAAATAGGGGTATATAGTGTAGGGGTCAGGAGTATGTAATGTACAATATAGAGTATATAGTGCAGGAGTCAGGAGTATGTAATGAACGAACAATATAGAGTATATCTGCAGGGGTCAGGAGTATGTAATGAACAATATAGAATATATAGTGCAGGGGTCAGAAGTATGTAATGTACAAAACAGAGTATATAGTGCAGAGGAGTCAGGAGTATGTAATGTACAACAGTAGTATAGTGCAGAAGGTCAGGAGTATATAATGTTCAAAAAATAGAGTATATAGTGCAGAGGTCAGGAGTATGTAATGTACAACATAGAGTATATAGTGCAGGGTCAGGAGTATGTAATGTACAACATAGAGTATATAGTGCAGGGGTCAGGAGTATGTAATGAACAATATAGAGTATATAGTGCAGGGGGTCAGGAGTATGTAATGTACAATATAGGGTATATAGTGAAGGGGTCAGGAGTATGGTAATGTATACTATAGAGTATATAGTGCAGGGGTCAGGAATATGTAATGTACAATATAGAGAATATAGTGCAGGGTCAGGAGTATGTAATGTACAATATTTATTGTATTTAGTGAAGGGTCAGGAGTATGTAAGTACAACTTATTGTATAAGACACTATAGTTAGAACTACACATTTACAGCAGTATGCAATGTACAGGTGTAGCACTCTGCCCTAGGCTACATAAATCTTATTTTTTGGCTTTGTTGTACTCAGTGAAACAGCTATTTTTTAGGTTTCATCAGGTCTCCCTAAAGCCTGTGTGGTTGATTTCTCTTGCTTACCTCTGGAAGAGGCTTTCCAGAAATAGATTAGTAGTCCACTGGGTTATGAACATTTATATGACCTCAGCCATATCCCCGAGAGGGGGACACCCAGAAGGTGGCTCGGTAGAAGATAAAAGTTTGGGAGGGCTTTTCAGAGCTCTGGCAGTCTTAGGGCCTCCCTTATAGGAGGCAGCTTGTGTACTGAACAGCTGCTGCTATTAGGCCCCTATGGGCTGAGGGCCTGAAAGAACCCTGACCTTAAAGACATTTGCTGGAGGACACTACCTTAGAAAGCTGAAGCTAGTGAAGAAAGAACCCTTGCACTGAAGACTGTCACAGAGAGGGCTGGTTAGGGAGCTGTCTCTGGACATTGTCTAAAGCTCCAGGTGTGCCTGTGCTTTGATAGTTAGACGGTGTGGCCACAGAGGACATTGACTGATCATTTAGAATTCATTGTAGCTGGCTGTCACCTCCCATCCAGAATACTTTAAGGCTGCGACTTGAAGAAACTTTGCTTGAGGACATCTGCCCGTCTGCACCTGCTTGTGTTCTGGAGTTCTGCACCCTCAGTGCTCTCCTGTTCAAGTACTGCAATAAAAAATAAATACACCCTAGACTGAGCTTGTGTTTGTCGGTGTGATTGGAAATTACCTGGCTGGCAGCCTTTGAGGAACCCTGGGGAATAGAATTGTTCTATCAAAGATCATACTAGTCCAGTAAGAGCCCTAGGGCAGAAGCATCCCAGTACCACGTGAGCCTAAGTGCCTATGGTGAAAAATAATCATTATGCTGCCAGCTGAACCCTTAGAATCTCCATAAATCCAGTCTAGATACATAACAATGTGTCTGCAAGCACAAGAGAAGGAAGAGATCATCGCAGAGAAATCCAGGAATACAGGACGGGGAACACAGCTCAGGAAAGTGACCAGGGGATTACAGGCTGATATCACCCAAGTCCCCGCCCTACTCTGGACCAATCAGTGAGCAGTATGGGTGGAGGAATGGATTTAGTGTTTTTATGACCCACCTGTGCTGATCTCTGTAGGAGTGTCACAAGTAAAAAAACTCATATAAATGTCCCCGTTATTCCATCTCTCTCCATAGACTGCTGGATATCCCTCACATACGCCTTCTTTCCTTCTTTGATTTAACATCAACTTCTATATAACGATTGGATCTCCACCTCAACTCATTGAGATTCATGATCAACAAAAACATCTGTATATTAATAAACCTCACATAATACAAAAACCACAATATCTTCTCCACAAGTCCATTTTCTTTGACGGTCCGATTACACCAACCTTATATATTTATAGTGAGGGGATGGTGTGACCTTCCTGTGAGGAATCAGGGAATACAGAGGTACGGGGGACATCTCTCTGGTGGGTTCCCATGACTGGATCCATCTACCTTCTGATGGTGAGGGATACCTCCAGTAGTCCTTCCTGTGTGTGAATCCATTTCATCCGAATTCCTCTGAAAGATGAGGACAGGGACATCCTCTCATGGTGGGTCCCCAAAATTACAAATGGATGTCATATCTACCTGGATGATGGTGAGGGATGGTGTGACCTTCCTGTGAGGATCCCGGGGAAATACAGAGGGATGGGGGCATCTCTCTGGTGGGTTCCCATGAATTGGATCCATCTGTAGGAAAACACACACACTGACTGAATCCATTGTTTCTATGTGTTTATCAGATGATGGGGGATCTAGGTGGATCCTCCGTACTGCTCTCTCTCCTTTTACAAAAAGTCTCCATAGCATTTACACGGTGATGGTGAGGGGCGGCTGATTGTCCCATCATGACGTCCTAATGTAGAGATCCTTGTGTCCCTCTAATAACCCACTCCCACTCCTCCATGGAAAATAGACAGTGACAACCTGACACAAGTATAGGAACCTGACTACACACACAATGAGTATACTGTCACCATTCCAGACACAAACCCTTGTCTGTTACTGGAGAATGTCCCAGAATTCCCGGCATCCCCTGCTTCACCTCTCCTGTCAGGCAGCAGCTCCATAATGACTCTTTGGTGACTTCTAGAAATCTTCTGCATGTTTGTGTCTCTCGGTTTTAGGGGAGTCCACATGGAGGCACTGTGATGGTCATATGATCACCTGACTTACAGAAAGAGGAAATCTCTGTATTGAGGAACAATAGAAATATCATTAGTGGCTAATGTGGCAGAGGGGAGATAATAGGAGTAATGTAATTTTTTGTGACAAATCCCCCCTACCTCTCCGGTCGGTCTTTGGTTTTTTTAAAGAATTAGAGTGATTCATGTACCCCAGGAAAAACCCATCACCTTTCCGGGGCAGGTCTGCGTTTTATTAAAAGAGATAAAGGGGTGTCATGTGACCTCCCCCC